GCGTTTGATGTGTGGCCTGACGGGAAAGCTTTTTAACTTACCATTCCCATTTCATTTATGATTATTTTCTCTCATTTTGAATGTTAATTGATAACGCTATGAATTTTCTGTGGAGTACAGCCAAACGCTTCACCAATATCACTATCACTCGCCTTTTCATGGCCACTCTTGACGATTCAATTTCTTCCTTATCTATCTTACATAATATTCCCCCCAAAATAGAGGCAAGCACCCCCACCCCACCCCACGTACCCGCCAACGCAAGAGCTACCAAATCAAACTACCGCTCCATTGTCAGAGGACGATCCAGATGAAGTTGCGACGAGCTGTCATGTCCTAGGTCAATTTCATGTTAGGTACTCTTTAAGACGAACACGACACCTAGCCTGCCCGGCTTAGCCCGTGCTTGCATAGCGCGCGCCGTATACATGCCCTCGACATCTATCAGCGAGCGCACGCTGTATACCGGCCCTCGACTCTATCGGCGGGCGCACGCCGTATACCGGTCCTCAGCATCTATCAGCGAGCAAACGCTCACCTTACCAAATGCAGGCATTTGATATCCGGTGGTTGTCAAGGACGTCATTGCCAAATACGGTTATTTGGGATCCAGCAGAGCTATTGGTTCCAATTTTAGCGTTGGTATCAGCTGTGACAGACGTGCCTGTCTCACCAGATGATGTCATTCAGAGACAAACGGCTGAATCACACCGCCTCACCTTCCCTATGCCTGCAAGGTCATTTGTGATCCCAAACAACTGGAGGCGCATAACTTACCTGATATGGTCTCTCGGGATTGAAATATTAACGGGCGCCTGCCGTATAAAATCAATGCAGTCGGAATAAAACAACCGGCCATCTGCCTGCCTGTACCTCACTAGGTCATATGTAATTCAAATGGCCGGCATCCGACGGCTCCTCTAAACGAGGGCCATCACTTGAAGAGGACACCTCCAATACGCAACGTGATACCTGCTTAAGCGACATGAGAGCAACGGTGCTAAAGAGTTGGATGGTGTGTTTTCCTTCACAGTGACGGCATATGTTATTGAATCTTGCTTTTGCGCGGCTCTAAGCTTTCAGTAATGATGGCTGTAGTGTTTGCTGTGACTGCTATGTGTGGTTATATAGGCTTTGGTATTTGTTGTTAGATGGCATTTGCGTGGTATCTTTCGACTCATCTTCGACATATACCTATTGCTGTTTGTTTCACAAGATGGACCCGCTTGCATGCTGCTGGCGTTTAGGCAACAACTCGTGCTGACGTTTCTGGTGCATTTGTTCTCAGATATATTGTACAAAAATAGGATACCACAATTGATAGCGAGGCTTTCCACGATATGCCGAAGCTAGAACAACTGTGAGTATGCTTTCTCCGTCGGCGTAGCCCAGGGCTTATGAAACATGGAACATGAAGTGTGGATGAATAGTTGTGCGCTCAGAAATTATTGCAATGTATTTGGCCTTTTTTATAATTACTTGTATTTTCAAGTGACCGCTAAATCGTTCAGCTCTAGCTTAACGTCGTGAGACTGTGAAGCTCCGACTCGATTGTACTCGATTGTGCAGCGACTGTTTTGAGGTGTACAATATATTTCACTGTAATTGTAATGTAATTGAGGTCTGAGGCCTCAATGTAATTGAGGGTGTGCTGTATGGCCTTGTCCATATCTTAAAGACAATGCCTGCTCTCTTCCTCCTCCTCCCCTCCCAGAGTCCTCCGGGCGCTCACTGAGACCTGGCTCAGAAGTCAGTGATGTCCCCTCGTCACCACCGCCGCGGGCGTGCGCCGTACCAGCTGACCCTGCCGGCCGTCTAGAGCCTCGGATCGGTCCACCGGCCGTTTCGGGGCCTCGGAGCGGCCAGTCGGCTGTCTCAGGGCCTCGGAGCGAACCGGCCGGCCGTCTCGGAGCGGCCCGCCGGCCGTCTCAGGGCCTCGGAGCGGCCGGTAGGCCGTCTCGGAGCTGCCCGCCGGCCGCTTCAGTGCGGCGGCCGCTCCCGTCCCGGCCGACGTAGGCTGGCGGCGTGCGGTCTCGTGTGCTAGTGTCAGTCGGCGGCAGCGCCCGGTCAGATCAAGCGTAGCCGCCGCGCCTGTCCGGGCAGGTGTGTCTCGGGCGGCGCCGGGGCGGCGGCACGTGCTGGCAGCATGTGCAGCCGTGCACGCTGCCAACCCAGCGCCGCTCGCCGGCGCTCCGTTCAGGCTGGCACTGCGATCGGACTCCCGGCCGACGCTTTGGCTGCCCTGGGCGATCCGATTAGCCCTGCTCCGGCCATGTATGGCTGTTGCATGTCTGAGCGCCGCTAGTCCGGTACTACGGCCGGCCTGCCGTCAGAGGCGCCGGCGAAACATCTATCTTCCCGGGACATGCTCACGCGCGGGTATGTCCGCGGTTTGTCCTCCCCTGTGACCGCTGCTGATGTGCAGCGCATTGTCCTGTGCATATTTGGCAATGCTGGCAGTGAAAGAACGTCCGGAGTCCCAGCACGACTTCCAGCAGGCGTTGCGACGCAATTCAGATGACAGGGGCTTTCATTTTCGGCAATGTCTGGCCACCGCGCTGGCCCCCACGCAGAGTACGCACACGTGATGAGCGTGCATCGCACTCCAGTCGGAGAGCACGAACTTATCGGCGGCTCTGTGACGGCCGCTGCACTCGTACGACCGGTCGCCGGCGTCGCTGCCGTCAGCCGTCAGAGCCGGGCCGGCGCCCGCCGGCCGCCGCCCGCCGGCGTCTGCCGACCTCCCGCCGGTCGGCTGTCCGCCGCCAGACGCCGACCCCAGGGCGGCGCGCGACGCTGACCGATGCGGCGTCCGGACGCCGGGTCGGCGCGCCCGACCGGTCCGTATTTGTCACACTGGGGGCCGGTGTCCTCTGGGAGGGAGCGGCCCGGCCCGGCCCGGCCCGACCCGCCAGCGCACCGCCGACGCGCACCCAGGCGCCGCCCGCCCCGCTCTGAATTATGGATGAACCGTTTTCCCAGGTACCTGCATTACAATTACATTGAGGATGTCAGCGCGGAAACGTTCAGCAACCTACCGTCCATCGAGCGCCTGTGAGTATGTGGCACAGCGGTGCGGGGGCGTGCCGGCGCGTGCGCGCGTCAGATGTCCGCCCAACACCTCAGGTATCGGAAAGGGTGGCTGATGAACTGGGTCGTCTGAGCGTCGCTGGTGCGATGTGTAATAACGCATCACTTAGATGGCCGCCACTTTGCTCGCCGCTGTGTCCACGCCACACAATAGTGCGGGTTGTCTAGCCGAGTGATTGGCGTACAATGCCGGCGGGACATCTCCGCAGCGCCACCCCGCGGCGGCCGCCAGCCGGGCCGCAGCGCCGCTCAGTTACCCTGTCCTGCGGCCGGGGGCCTGTTGTTCCACTCAGTCGCCGATCCGGAGCACGGCTTCGCGCCGGCAGTCCTTTGAAGGCGGCGCGAGGCCGCAGCTACCGGCCAGCGGCGGGGCGGCTGGCCCAGGACTATTGAGACGTCAGCTACCAGCCGACTGTCGAAGTGTCACTGGAGCTTGTCTCCCGGGCAGACGGTGGGACCTCTCCCGGGTAGCCTCTGGCTCCCTTTCCCTGGGCAGCCACGGGAGCCTCTCTCCCAGGCAGCCACTGAGATCTTTCTCCCCGGCAGCCAATGGTCCCTCGCTTCTGGGCAGCCACTTGGGCCCCTCTCGGGCAGCCACTGGAGCCTCTCTCCCGGGCAACCAGTGGGGCCTCTCCTGGGCAGCCACTGGAGCCTCTCTCCCGGGCAACCAGTCGGGCCTCTCCCGGGTAGCCACTGGGACCTCTCTCCCGGGCAGCCTCTGGGGCCTCTCCTGGGTAGCCTCTGGAGCTCCTCTCTCGGGCGGCCTTTGGGGCCTCTCTTGGGCAGGCAGCGGTCTTCAGCGGGGCTCGGACGAGTGGTCTGACGCGCCCTCTACTGCTCCAGGTTCCTGCACAACAACAAGCTGCAGCGGATACCCTACGGCGCATTCAGCAACCTGACCTCCCTGAAGCGACTGTGAGTATCCGACACTCCGATAGTCAGGATATTCCTCCTTATGATCAGCCAAGGCCAGCTCCTCGCTCTCCTTTTCTCTCCTTCACTGGTTGCCGGGATCTCCCTTCCTCCACCCCTCCCACATCGTTCAGGGTGTGACAGCCCTCTGTCACCGCCAATGTCTCTCCGTCTGTCACTGACCAGGGTCTCCCATCAGCCCCGTGTTCTGACCTGTCGGAAACGCCCGGAAGCCCATACAAACCGCGACCACCTGATGGGTCGACGGGCGCGTCGCTCCGGCCAAATAAACCCCGGCGCCGCCCCGCCGAACGCGTTTATTTTGCTTTCCTTACGCGCGACTCGTGTGGCGCCACCGTGCGGCGGGCCGTCCGGCGGCCGAGGAGCCCGGCTCGCCGCCGCCTCGCCCCCACCGCAGTTCAGGATGGGCGTCGACCGTCTCCGGCGGCCGGTGTCGGCCGGACGGGCGGAGCGCGGCGGCGGCGGCGGGCGGTCTCGGCCCGCGCCGCGGCCGGCGTCCGGCCGACGGCGCGCGGCCGGTGCTACCGGTCGCAGGCCCGGACCGGTCGGCCGGGGCCGGATACCCGACACCCCCTGTCGCCACGTGGACGGGGGTGTTGACGCGGGACTGACCCTGCGCGTGTGAAAGAGAGAGTGGGTGGGTGGGTAAGCTTGCCTGGGCGCCAGGCCGTTGTGCGTGGGCTGCTAACCGCGTACGGGTGTCCCAGTGCGCATGCCCGTGTGCGTGTACGCATGGTTGTGTACTTTAGTACTCGCGTGTGCGTGTGCGTGCGCGTGTGCGTGTGCGTGCGTGCGTGCGTGCGTGCGTGCGTGCGTGTGTGTGTGTGTGTGTGTGTGTGTGTGTGTATGCGTGTGTGTGTGTGTGTGTGTGTGTGTGTGTGTGTGTGTGTGTGTGTGTGTGTGTGTGTGTGTGTGTGTGTGTGTGTGTGCGCGCAAATATGCACGCGTATTGCGTGTGCGTGAGTGTTCAGCTAGTAGCAAACATACAGCTGAGCTCTACGCGCCCCTTCCAGTGGTTGACAGGAGATGACTGCTAAGATCTGGCAGGCAGAACAGCGCATGGGCGGAACAAGAGTCTGGTGATTAAAGTTGTTTAACGCTGGCCTCGACAGACACGTGCTCTTGCATGGCATACGCGTTTCGATTACAAGTGCGGCTTGTCGTCGTTTCAGACGGCTAGACAGCAACGCTCTGATCTGCGACTGCCGCATGCTGTGGCTGGCGCACATGCTGAAGGAGCACGCGTCGCGGTCGGTAGCCAGTGCCACCTGTCAGGAGCCGGCCGAACTAAACGGCCGCAGTATAGCCGACATCGAGGATCAAATGCTGCGGTGCTGTAAGCGATCCGAGCGCACGCCCGTTGCTTTGAATGGTATCACGTGCGGTTGAGCCGTGCACATGTTGGCAAAGTTATCGTGGCGTGATGATCATGAATGGATTTCTTTAAACAAGGTGTGAAATGGGCAGTGTTTTCGGCGTTGTCGTGGTCAGGGTGTCGGGTCCGTACCTGGTTTGTCTCAGAAACTCGGTGTGCACCAGGCGTGGGTTGAGCGTTGCCGCTGAGTAGGAGTGCGGCTGCCTGCACAACATTTCAGCAACTTATCATCAGAGATTTGACGTTGCATGGAATGAATGGCCCAAAAATGACATCTGTACCACAATATGTTATGGAAATTCTAAGTTCTGGCACCGGGCGTGGTGATGAAGTGAGTGTCTACGTTGGACTGGGTATTATGCCTATTTGATAGTGTTAACAATTGGAAGATGTAGAGGACAATGCGCGCGTAGCCTAGTGTTGTGTCCTACAGCGCATCCCCTGCATTGGCACGGGGTCCAGCGCAGGCTTACAGGGTCCTGGGGGTGGAGCGACGCCGACAGCAGTGTACCCCCGGGGAGGGCTTGGAAGGACTGCACGAACGCAGTTTGATCTCTCTTCCACAATCCCGCGGGGTTAGTGTGAGACTTTTGCAAGGGCGCGAGGCGGCCGCTCCACGCTGCGCCCGCCCCGCCGGCCCCGAGCTGTACCGGATCGTGTCACGCGGTTGGCTGAGCTAAAAACTCGCTGCGGTGAAGCGTGCAAGGCTGGCTGTCGTCGTGCAGAGGGCGTGGGTCACCGAGGTCGGTCTCAGTAGGGGCTGAACCCGTGACCTTGTCTTTATCGACGCAGCGGCATCTTCACACGAGATGGGTCGGGTCGTGTACTAATTGTGTGGCGTTCGTTCGCTGCTACATCCTCCGTCTCGCCTCCAGGGATATGACCTCTCGCGTCCACTACGCTTCTGCCAACCGTCTCTCCGTGCTGACCCATGCATGACACCTGCGTTGGGACTGGGGCCACTCGAGCCGACACCAGACAGCTGACACACTGTCCCTGGTGCGCCCCCGGGAGTCGGGCGACGGGGGTCTCACCAGGGCCGCCTCCTGAGGCGCGCTCTCCTATGCTCCAGCGGCGCCCCAGCTCACAGAGCAGCCACGCAACGTAGTCATCACGTTCGGCAAGACAGCTTACTTCCACTGCGAGGCGGATGGCGAGCCGCAGCCCGACATCGTCTGGCTGCACAACAGGTACGGCGGCCCCGGCTAGCGCCGCCTGTCGGACGATTTGCGAACCCGCCACAAGCTGAACAACAGCTGCCGGGTGCTGACGGCAAGCGCCCCTGTCGGCCGACTTGTAAACACATCACTTCGCGCCGGAGGATTAGCCCGACTGCGCGGTGTGTGGCGCAACTTGTGCTGCTGTCCGACGCTGAGTTCGTGATCTGGCGCTCTTCGGGTGAACAATTGCCAACGGCGCTGTTGACGTCGGCGCGGCTAGTTATTTCTGTGACGTCAGGTGCCACTCGACTGGGTCCGATATCAATGCCTTATTTGGACGGACTGGTGGCATACGCCTTGAAATGCGGCGCCGCGATAGAATGTTGTTAACGTAATGAGCTTCATGGACGCCGCAACTGTACCAATGAAAGCGGGGTGGAATTGGTGAACTCGCGATTTTATTCCTTTGAAAGCTTATGAAGCGGCGTTGATTTCGTTAGTTCCGCACAACGCTAGTTTGCAGTTGTGAGAGAGGCACGCAGTAATCCTAGGCAGGCACGCCTGTGCGTGCTTGCTTTTGACAATGTGAGCTGCCACGGACGATTATTTTTGCTCGTGGGTAGTGCAAACTGTGTAAGTGGTGGTTAGGACGGCCTCTGCGGTTGGCCGAGAGGATGGTGGCTAGCTCTAGGTAGACAGCTTGTCCACGTCGCGTTCAAAGCAAAACCGATCGGTTTTTTCGTCCTGCATGGTTGGTTATCGCCGATCCATTCCCCGCGTCAGGCCACCTACGGAGAGATGGTGTCCGTGGCTCGCCACTCACAGCTGATGGCCGTTTCAGGAACGAGCTCGACCCGGAGAATATGGAGGCCGGCTACCAGATCCTGGAGGATGGCACGCTGATGGTGGAGCCGTCCAGCGACCCGGACGCCGTGTTTGAGTGCATGGCCAAAAACCAAATGGGGCAGGTGAAGTCGCGGCCGGTGACGGTGCGTTACGTGCCCTCCTCGCCGCAGCAGGACGACGGGATGCCGCACCCGGGAGCGCCCGAGGAGGCGCCGCTCCCACCACCCCCGCCGCCCGCCGTCCCCAGGAGTCGCGAGGAGGAGCTCGCCAAGGAGGAGGAGGAGGAGCGGCCGGCGCGGCGCGAGCGCCAGAGCTACTACGACCGGCGGAGCCGCGTGCTCGACAGCAGGAACCGCGAGGACAACCGACTGACGACCCAGCGGCGGCCGTTCCAGCTGCCGGGCCGCACCAGGGAGGACAACCTGGCCACACACAGTGAGCACGAGCAGAGGACGGTGGGTCCGCCACAGTCCTCGCGAGACAGCGAGGTCCGACACGGCCCTAACACCACTCACACATCGCCGATGCAGGTATCAGCCACTGGCGGCTGACAGGAAGGGAGGCGGGGATCTCACCGCTGACGGTGACCATGGCTGGGGCCGACGACGTAAGACCGTGCGGCGTGAGACGAGCGGCGCGCCTGGTGGGACGCATGCCTTTGTCCTGGAGTGATCGCTGTGAGTTGCAACACGGCTGTCGCCGCGGGCTGTTCGCCGCGTCACAGCTTGTCACCGCTGCTGAAATCCCCTGGGGTGACCACCGCGGCTAGATCAGCAGTCAGGGTCAACTCTCGGCTCACAGCTGCTGATCCCTGACAGTGTGCGGCAGGCGCGACGCGCCACAGCTGGTCACCACTGCTGAGATCCCCTGAGGTGACCCCCGCGGCTAGATCAGCAGTCAGAGTCAACTCTCGGCTCAGAGCCGCTGATCCCTGACAGTGTGCGGCAGGCGCGCCGCGTCGGCTCATCAGCTGATGACACGCCGCCGCTGCGTGTGAGCTCCCCGTGGCGCGGGCAGGGTTCCCGCGCCTGACACTGGTGGTCGGTGCTGAGCGAGTTCTGCCCGGCAGGTCGGCCGCGGTTTGTGCGTGCCCCGCAGGACGTGCACGTGGGCGTGGGTGACGTGGCCGAGCTGGTGTGCGTGGTCGACGGCTACCCGACGCCGGAGCTGCTCTGGCTGAGAGGCGGCAACGCCATCACCACCCAGACGCCCCGCTACCGGGTGAGCCGGGCTGGAGACCCTGCTGCCGCTGCGGCCGGCGCTGCACAAACCCGGCTTCACGAGGGATCGAGGCTAGGCGTGCTCAGTTGCGCGGTTGTTTGTGCTCAGCCGAGTGGGGCTGGAGCGCGGCATGCATTTGGGCGTCAGAGGTCGAAGAGTGATGAACACGGATATCATTTTCGTCAAATATTTAAAACGCTTTGCTTAAAAGTAGGGCATGTCTGAGTTTCACTGCAAAAGTCGCGGAAATAGTTTAGAGACCTCCGTGTCCGAGTAACCACATTAGGAGGACCTCACTGACTATGAACCGATACATAATTGCACGCTCATTGGGAGCAGAAACACAGAGAAGCCCACCAGCACGCCTCACTCCAGCCGGCAAACAGCCCCCTCCTGCTCTCCTCCGTCGCTCTGTTTCGCCGCCCGTCTTCGCCAGCAAGCCCAGCCCCAGGGCTGGAGCTGAGACGCTCCCACAGCGGTTCGGTCCAACACGCCACCCTGCCCGCCGACAGCTGCGGTTCGCGGCGCGCGAAGCCAACCTGACTATCATCAACGTGCAGCCGCAAGACGCCGGCGAGTACCTCTGCTCGGCGTCCAACCGGCTGGGGCGCGTGTCGTCGCCGGCGCAGCTGGTGCTGCAGAGTGAGTTCACGGCCGCTCCACGGCAGGGCACCGTGTGCTTCTGTCTGGAATGAGGAGTTGAGGGATAGGAGTTATGAGGAGTTACCGCAACAAACGTCCGCGTGACAACATCAGCGTCTCAATACCAGGCGTCGATGTCCTCTGAGACGAACGTGCGGTTTAGCAGCCTCTGCTCGCCTTCTGCTTCCTCACAGACCCACCAAAGTGTGCACGTTCCATCTCGTGTCAGCCGTTTCCCTGTCGTTGGTATCCCGGTGTCTGGCGCGACTAGATGGCTCCGTGAGATTGCAATGCATGTCGCATGAGCGCTGAACGTCACTTGTGTATCCACAGATACGCGTCCATCAGCTAGCTACCCAGCGATTTGTGGTCGGGCCTTTAGCTCCGTCCAGGGTGTCTTGTACCCGCCCCGAGGGTCAAGTGAGCGGCTCCGTCCAGGGTGTCTTGTACCCGCCCAGAGGGTTCAGTGAGCGGCTCCGTCCAGGGTGTCTTGTACCCGCCCTGAGGGTCCAGAGAGCGGCTCCGTCACCAGCGTCCTCCCACTGTTCACGTGGCGTGTGATGAGCCTTGTCCCGGTGCCACGCCACTAGCAGTGCGCAGAGCGTCCGTGCTCAGCCTTGGACCTCCTGAGACCTCCCGGGTCTAGAGCGTGGCCGGCCCAGCGTGCGCCAGTGTGGTGTCTGACCGGCCGGTGGCGCCGCCGGCAGCGCGCCCCCCGCATCACGGCGCCGCCGCAGGACCAGCTGAGGCCGGCCGGAGCCAACGTCGACCTGACCTGCGGCGCCGTCGGCTACCCGACGCCCGAGGTCAGCTGGCTACACAACGGTCGCCGCATCCGGCACAGCTCGCGCGTGGCTGTGCTGGCCGGAGGTAAGGTGGGCGCTGGGTACGCGTCCAGCACTCAGTAGTGGTGCGAGGTGATCAGGCGCCGGCGAAAGTTTCAAGCATGACGTTGTTTCTTTTCAGTTCAAGCGTGGCCATGCGTCGACCATATCGTTATCATGCGGTCATGTCATTGCATCCTGAGCGTGCTATCATGTGGTCATGTCATCGTATCATGAGCGTGCTTTCATGTAGTCATGCTATTGTATCATGAGCGTGCTATCATGTGGTCATTTTATCATGAGCGTGCTATCATGCAGTCATGTCATTATATCATGAGCGTGCTATCATGTGGCCATGTGGTAATGTGGTCATGTGGTCATGTAGTCATGTGGTCATGTCATTGTATCATGAGCTTGCTATCATGTCGCCAGCAGCCTGTGCGATGTGACAGGTAGTTTTGAGAACGGTAACTTCGCCGTCGTCTGGCAGCTGAGCCAAACCGCTGTGTATTGCCCCTTCTCTGTCCTCTGTCCGGCAACTGCAACTGCCGGTCAATTGTTTGGTCTCCGCAACCAGCGGCACGAGTTCGCTGTCCTGCGCAGCTCCCTGTCTCAGGGCAGCGAACGTCACCGCCCTACTTTGTCAGTGCCGCAGTGCCGCTGGATTAGGGCAGCAAACGTCACCGCTTCACTTTACCAGTGCCGCAGTACCGCTGGATTAGGGCAGCAAACGTCACCGCTCCACTCTGCCAGTGCCGCAGTGCCGCTGGCTTAGGGCAGCGAACGTCACCGCTCCACTCTGCCAGTGCCGCAGTGCCACTGGATACTCCGAGCACCACGCCTGCGGCGACGGCCGGTCGTACGCTCAGCTGAGTCCGCTGCTCAGCTGAGTCCTCTGCGAGTACTGAAGCTCCGCCCCGTCTCGCGTTCCAGGCGGGGTGCTGCGAATCTCCAACTTGCAGCACCACGACGCGGGCACGTACACGTGTGAGGCCAGGAACGAGGCGGCCGTAGCCAGGGAGGAGGCCGAACTCGATGTCAGCGGCCATGTGAGTGTTTCCAGTGGGGAAGGTCGTAGGGAGGGTCGTGGGGGGGGGGGGATGGCACGTAAAATTGTCAGTGTACCCTCCCCCTCCAGCATACTGCAAATCTGCGTCGGCTCGTCAGTCAGGCCCTCGCACTGCCTCGAGTCACCCCACCGCCCTCCTGCGGTCCGTTGCGTGGCCTCAAGACTGCCCTGATTCCCAACCTGTCTAAAACTGCCTGAGACTGCCGGCCCTCCCCAGGGCTGGGTGGATGGCGCGGCTCAGGTGTGTCGGGATCGTGGCTGTCCGCTCCGCCTTTCCGGCGGGTCCTGACTTCGGGGCATTGGCCGACAGCCCCTCTGCTGTTCCGCCTGTGTGACCTGACCCGGCGCTCCAGGCGGGTCCGGTGCTGACCGAGCGACCGCCCATGACCCTGACGGCCGCCCTCGGCGAAAGTATCGCACTGACGTGCCGCGCCTCCGGCTCGCCGCTGCCGGAGATCACCTGGAGGAGGGTCGGCGGCAACCTGTTCGCCGACGGACGTCACAGGTCAGGGCTGGGTCGCAGGTTGGTGGATGGGTCACAAGTCAGGGCTTGGTCACGGGTCAAGGCTGAGTCACAGGTCAGGGCTGGGTCGCAGGCTGGTGGATGGGTCACAAGTCAGGGCTTGGTCACAGGTCAAGGCTGAGCCACAGGTCAGGGGTGGATCAAAGGTCAGCGATGGTCACAGGTTAGGGATGGGTCACAGGTCAGGGATGATGACGCGCCACCAGCTGAGAGCCGCTCCCCTTGGGTACCGGCCGGCACCTGGTTATTCGTGTATCATAGCAATATTGTCATTACAGGTGGTAGGAAAGGACAGGCGATTTCATGACAATCAGCCGCCAACGACCGATGGCCAAGCATGAAAGTTACACCCACCTCGCATTCACAGACTAAAATGATCTGGTCGTGCTGCGTCGCGTTACGATACTTGTGACAAATGTTTCAGTTTCCCCGACGAGTTTGGCTGGCAACTGTAGTGCTGTCAGTCTCCGTAGCGTGTCCTGACGGCGAGGCCTTGTGTCCGGCAGTGCCACGACGGACGGAGCCTTGACCCTGAGGACCCTGACCGCCCAGGACGGCGGCATTTACGAGTGCAACGTCGACAACGGCGTGGGCCACGCTGTGGCTACCACACACCTGGCCATCGCCGCTGCCCAGGTCAGTGATCACGGTCTGCACTGCGCGCTCATCACGGGGCATCAGACCACAGCTGGCCGGCTCGCTGTGTTGGTGATTTCGGACAAGGCTGCCTCTCAGCGTCCGTCCTTCGGTGCGATTGTGCGGTGTCAGTGCTGGGGGCAGTGCTGGGGGCAGTGCTGGGGTCAGTGCTGGGGGCAGTGCTGGGGGCAGTGCTGGGGGCAGTGCTGGGGGCAGTGCTGGGGGCAGTGCCGACCCGAGGCCCGTCGAAGAGCGTGATTGTGGCGGCTGCTCGGTTACGCCGCTGACGTGCTGCCGTCGCCAGACGTCGTCCGCCCGTCCCGGAGACCAGTTCGTCAGCCAGAGCGCGGCAGAAGCGACGCGTGATGTCGAGATCGCGCTGAACCGCACCCTGCGCCAGCTGTTCTCACAGCCGCGCCACCATCGCCGCACGCCGCACGAGCTGCTGCAGATCTTCAGGTGCAGATCTGGCGCATCGATCGGCTCCCGACTTGACCCTGGACTCTCCCGGGCCGGCTCTCCGTGATCTGATGGAACCAAAATGCATAAAAACCTGGGATAGTGAGCGTCGGGAACTATCCTCTTAGAGCAGAGAGTTGTCCGTGTTGTTGACACTTCTTTGTCATACGTTCAGTTTCGGGTGTTCGTCACAACTTTGGCGCTCAGTATCTCTGTCATTACAACTGTGGGTAGCTTTTATGCGGTGCTGCAATTGCTAGCTCAGTTTTCTCGTTCTGCAGGACAGCGAAAGGCCGTTTCAGCCGCTTCCGTTCTATACCGATGCGCTTGTGTATGTGGCATTAGAATGGGTGGTGTGCTTAATCTCGTCATTGCAACAGGTGTGTGGGATACTCTGCGTCATGAAGACCGACTCGGTGTGTCCACTGCAGCGGCGGCTCTGTTCGCGCTGCGTGAGGTTTGTCGCCGCAGTTCTTGCCACGCATGACACCGGCGTCCGGCTTGGCCGTGCATGGCGCAGGTTCCCCACGGACGAGGCGCTGGACCAAGCGCGCGCTGGCGAGATCTTCGAGCGCGCCCTGGAGCTGGTCAAACGGCTGGTGGAGTCCGGATCCCGCTTCAACCTCACGAGTGAGCTGACACCCGCTGTTCGGTCAGGCAGGCATGCGGCCTGCTCCAGCCGGGCTGCATTCGGAGCTGTTCCGCATGCGGAAGCAGTGATCGGAGTAACTGTTCCGGCCCCAATGTGATCGGAAAGCGCTTGTCATCCCATGTTAATGCGTTGTTCAATCTTGCAACGGATGTTTTTTTTTTAGATCTGCTATTGCATGCTCGCGGTCCTATCATCATCTCCGAGAGTGTACTTGGACCACGTGTTCCTCTCGATGTTGGTCTTCACCTGTTTCGCGGGTTTTGGACGGCGGTCTCGTACTGGGTTCGGAGTGCGCTAACTGGCTTGACCTGTTGCTGCCCTGTTTGGGTGTATTCGGCCGCGGCCGCACTGCCGCCGCCTGACTGGGGTCGGGTCGTTGCAGCATACTCTTACTCGGACCTGCTGTCGCCGGGCCAGATGGAGCGGCTGCGCGACCTCTCCGGCTGCTCGTCCCACCGGCGCCGCCTCAACTGCAGCAACATCTGCTTCCACAGCCGCTACCGCAGCGCCGACGGCACCTGCAACAACCTGCAGCAGCCTCTGTGGGGCGCCTCGCTGGTCGGCTTCCGCCGCCTGCTGCCCGCCCAGTATGAAAACGGCTTCAATACGCCCCGAGGTGAGTGACCCTCGGACCACGCCTCGGGAGCTTCAACGAATCTCGAACATTTTATGAGGCGTACGCCACTCTAGCGAGAGAACCGGCGACTGGCAAGACGTTGCGAATGCCACCCTTGCGGAGTTCGCGCATGATGGCGATGTTGACGACATTTTAGTGTTGGGATCAGAATGCAAGCTCCATTGTCGTCCCTCGTAAAACGACGGGTCAGCACCAAATGTGTAGTTCCAAGCTTGAGTGTTTTCATCTCTGATGACCGTTATTGCCGTCGCGTACAAACTTCATAGAACTCCACAGCGACAAGCCCGGACGAAGACGGTGTTCTACCACAGACTAGTGTCACATCCGCTCGACCGCCGCGGGCGGGCACCCTACACCTCCAGAGCCCCCCCCCCCCCCCCGCCCCCCTCCGCCGACGCGGCCGGGCGCGCCACATGTTGTGATCTCATGTATCCGTGAACGAGCCGGCCGGCGCGCCAGGACCGCTCTCAGCAGCGCGTACGTAATACTTCGTACGGCTGCGTTGGTCGTGCGGCTCATAAATGTACAGCGGTGCGCCGCTGCAGCCGGGGCGGGGCTGCTCACCGCCACCGGTCGGCTGCTGCCGGCGCCGCGTCCGTGACGTCATGCCGTCCGGTCACCAGGAGCCGACCGATCCTCCCGATACAACGGCTTCCTGCTGCCGAACCCACGCCTGGTCAGCTCGCGGCTGGCCGCCACCGACGTCATCACCGAGGACACCGAGTTCAGCGCCATGCTGATGCAGTGGGGGCAGTTCGTGGACCACGATATGGACCACGCGCTGCCCGCCTTCAGCGAGGTCAGCTTTGATGGCCAGCACGAGTGCGACAGGTCAGTGGTGGCCAGCACGGCGTGAAAACCCATTGGTCCGGCCAGTGTGAGAGTGACGGGTCAGTGGCGTGGGTCTCAGTATGATTAGGCTCGTGGATGGGCTACAGTAAGAGGTCACTGGCACGTGTCTTGGTGCGACGGGTCACTGGTATGGTTCTCAGTGTAACGGTTCACTGGTATTGGTCTCAGTGTCATGGCTCAACGGTGTGGCTGGGACACCTGGCATGAGGTACAGTATGACATGTCAAAGATATGGGGTGTGACATGCCAGCGGTACGGGGTGCAGTGTGACATGTCAGCGGTATGAGGTACAGTCTGACATGTTAACGGTACGGGTCCAGTGTGTCATGTCAGGGGTACGGGGTACCGTATAACATGTCAGGGGTACGGGGTACCGTATAACATGTCAGTGGTACGGCAGTGTGACTGGTCAGTGGCATGGTACACGGTGTAACAGCTCGGAGCGTGGTGCAAGTTTGAATAGTCCGGTGATGCGAGGCACTAATGCGAGTGCTCCAAGTCTGTCGCACGGGGCAAGTGTGTGGTAGCTCAACAGGACGGGCGTGCAACGCATTGAAACTTTAAGTACTGCGGAAGCTTATGCACGCATCGAGGTTTGAAGAGGGCGTGAGATTCTGGTCAGATACGAGAGTCGGCCGGGTCGGACACTTGTCTGGTATTAATATCGCATGCCCGGAGCAAGGGTGGAATGACGTGAAAATCATGACTGGGCCCGATATCCCGCTGATTTTGAAGATCATCGCCCATGGACACTGCGTCAAAAGCCAGACACATGCAACATCTGCCCGCACAAATATGCGAATTTCAGCGGGGGGAGGGGTGCTGCGCGGTGGGACGGTTTGTCCTGCGAGTCAGCCAGGGTCGGACCAGTGTCCGGGCGGCGCCGCGGACTGTTCCCACTGCCCTGGCGGCTGACTACAGCGCCGGCTGCGTGGGGCAGCCGTGCCCCTGGCACCGCACCGCGGTCAGGCCGGCCCGGACCCCGGCCCACCGGCGTACACCGACGGCGGGCTCCCCGGCGTAGTGGACAAACACCTGCTATCCCCAGCCGGGAGCGCGCCGCGCGCCGTCCGTGCGTTTCCGACAGCGGTGGGCGGCTTCAGCCGGTGCAGACCTCTTGGATGGATGGAAGGGGGCGGGGGAAGGGCTTAGTGTCTGCCACTGCAGTCGTTGCGCAACAGCTGCCGACGACAATGTTTGCAACCAATGCTGGCACGAGGCTCGCATCATGCGGTGGGATCCTACGAAACGGGAAGGACAGCAGTCAACCCACCATCCCGTTGAGCCATCCCTGGAATGGCGGCAAAGCGACCAACTGGGAACAAAGTGTAAAAACTTCTGGTCAGAGGTGGCCTGATCCCGTCCCCCGCTTCGCTCTGCGTAAGTTGTGGACGGGGTCAGGCTGACGCCGCCTCCCCTGACCGGAGTGGAGGACAGAGCCAGGCTGACGCCGCCTCCCCTGGCAGGAGCGGAGGACGGGTCAGGCTGACGCCGCCTCCCCTGACCGGAGCGCAGGACGGGTCAGGCTGACGCCGCCTCCCGTGGCCGGAGCGCAGGACGGGTCAGGCTGACGCCACCTCCCCTGGCCGGAGCGGAGGACGGGTCAGACTGACGCCGCCTCCCCTGGCCGGGGCGGAGGACGGGGCTAGGCTGACGCCGCCTCCCGTGGCCGGAGCGGAGGACGGGTCAGGCTGACGCCGCCTCCCGTGGCCGGAGCGGAGGACGGGTCAGGCCGACGCCACCTCCCCTGACCGGAGCGGAGGACGGGGCCAGGCTGACGCCGCTTCCCCTGGCCGGAGGGGAGGACGGGAGGACGATCTGCGCGTTCCTTGTCAGAGCTCGGCCAACTGGGAAGTTCGTGTGCACTGCATCGGGGCTGCTGGGAGACCGTGGAGTTTTTCGGGGAATTATCAAACAGATAAGGCAGGGCAGGTTTTCAGGCAGGGACTGGCTGGCAGCGGTGTCTGTGTGGTGTCGCGGGAGGGCTAACAGGCCGCGGAGTCTGTTCGGAATTCACGCGAGCGGTGCCGTGGCCGACTCCACAGCCCTTCCCGACAGAAGGCAGGCAGCCGGCCAGTCGGCGACCGGCGCCGGTTCTGTGTGCTGAAAGCATCAGAAACGCCAGGCTTAGACCGCAGACGCGGTGTTGGTCACAGCGAATCGCGTCATCTGAAGGGCTCGCCGCCAACACTGAGTCGACGGCGCCGCTGCGTCGAATGACGGGGGCTATGGTGGCCGCCGCTGTAATCAGGTGGTATCATTTGTCCACAAAAGCCTTGCACGACAGCTCAAGACCAGGGGTGGATCTAGCCTGGAGTTTGGGGAGAGGGCCAACCGTTCATCGCTAGCTGGTCGGTGTGGGATCCGAGGTCCAGTGCACTTATCAAACACGATGTTTGCGCAAAGTATGACTAAGCCGCGTCAACATGCGTTTTGTTTTGATACTCTGTTCTGGGAATGCTTTGGAGGGGCCAAGACATACTCTCAGAGTTTTTGGGGGCCTGTGCCCCCCTCCCCCCTCCCCCCCCCCCAGGATTCCCCTATGCTCATGACCATTGTCTGCCGTACTTTTTGCGCCATTCGACGAGGATGAGTTCGCGCCATCATTGGTAGTCCCGATTTTGATATTCCGGTTTATTCACATCACGTACCATAGCGGTTGATACCGTCCAGTGCAGCCAGGTGGTGAGTGGCAATCCGAGTCTAGCCTTTCTAGGCGAGGTAATTATGCGCATTATTTTGACTATCGCCGCAAGCAACTCATTATCATCATGCTCCGAATGTTTCGGCCGTCTGGTGGACGGGCACGATTGTTTGCGGTGCTTCACGTGGTAGAACATTACACAGTATGGTGCAAGCTGCTCAAATGAAAAAGTTGACCGACTCGGTCGATGCCATGTAGCGCGAAGCGTGTGGTCCGTTGTCTGTCCTGACACTTAGCTCCGCCTGCCGGCAGCACGTGCCAGAATGTGGCGCCGTGCTTCAACATCGCCATCCCGCCGGGGGACCGGCGCCAGGGCCATCACCGCTGCATGCGGCTGGTGCGCAGCTCGGCGGCCTGCGGCTCCGGCTCCACCTCCGTCTTCGGCCACCAGCTGATGCCGCGCGAGCAGATCAACGGCCTCTCCAGCTTCATCGACGGCAGCATGGTGAGCTGCGGCGGCCGAGGCAGAGCTGCAGCGCCGGCCGGACGGCCCAAGAGCGCGGCGGTCTGGATCGGTACTCGCACCTGAAACTGTGACGTGGCGGGCAGGTCACTGCCCCCCCCCCCCCGTGCCAGCTCACAGGTAATGATAATAACACAATGGCATGTGGTTCCGCGGGGACCGCTCGTCGCTCTGAGCTGTACGCTTCGTTGTCACGTGACGTCCCAGAGTTTGCCCGTCTTTGTACGCCCAGTGGTCACGTAACGTACCAGAGGTTCCTTGTCCTTTCCGCACGTCCGCCGGCCGTCACCGTCCCCGCCGCGTCGCTCGACAGATATACGGCAACACGGAGACGCAGGCGCACCACCTGCGAAACCTGAGCTACCCGTCGGGTCGGCTGAGGAACGGCATCTTCTCTCGCCCGCACCGGCCGTTCATGCCCTTCAACGACGGCGTGCCGGTGGACTGCCAGCGCGACCAGGCGGACCGCAGCGACATCGGGTGAGGCCGCGGGCGCGCTCGCCAAGTTCAGAGCCGTTCAGCCACGCAGTGGCATTGCTGCATCTTTGGCTGTCCAGGTGTAAGGGCGTCAGTGCTTGTGGTTTCGTGGGGATGTGACGTTAGGTCTGTACGTGTTTGTGTGGGGGGGGGAGGGGTGCGCGCGCTTTTATTCTGATGTGATCGACGCGTCGCTGTTGGCATCGCTGTTGGCGTCGCCGTTGGCGTCGCTGTTGGCGTCGCTGCTGGCGTCGCTGTTGGCGTCGCTGTTGGCGTCGCCGTTGGCGTCGCTGCTGGCGTCGGTGTTGGCGTCGCTGTTGGCGTCGCTGTTGGCGTCGCTGTTGGCGTCACCGTTGGCGTCGCTGTTCGCGTCGTTGGTGTGTGACTGTTATGATGCTGTGCTCCCGCGTCCTCCCGCCGTCCAACTGGAGCCTTGCGCGGACCCGCGTGGCGGCGGTGGCCTGGTGGCGCCACGCCGGACCTGACTGATTTCTGCTCCTCGCGGCCGCCAGCTGCTTCATGGCGGGAGACGTGCGCGCCAACGAGCAGCTGGGCCTGTCGGCCATGCACACGGTCTGGCTGCGCGAGCATAACCGCGTGGCGGACGAGCTGGCGCGCCTCAGCCCGCATTGGCACGGCGAGGAGCTGTACCAGGAGGCACGCCGCGTGGGTGGGCGCCCAGATCCAGCACATCACCTACCGACACTGGCTGCCGCTGGTGCTCGGCCCGGACGGCATGCGCCAGCTCGGTGACTACGCCGGCTACGACCCGACCGTCGAGCCGACGATCAGCAACGCCTTCGCCACGGCCGCGTTCCGGTTCGGCCACGGCCTGGTGGGGCCGGTGCTGCACCGGCTCAACGAGACGTTCCAGCCGATCCCGCAGGGCAATCTGCCGTTGCACCGGGCTTTCTTCGCGCCCTGGCGGCTGGTGCAGGAGGGCGGCGTGGACCCCATCCTGCGCGGTCTGTTCGCCAGCCCGGCCAAGGTCCACACGCCCGACCAGCTGCTGAACGCCGAGCTGACCGAGAAGCTCTTCTCGCTGCACCACCAGGTGTCGCTCGACCCTGGCCGCCATCAACATGCAGCGCGGCCGCGACCACGGCCTGCCCGGCTACAACGCCTGGCGCCGCCACTGCGGCTTGCGCGCCGCCGCCAGCTTCGCCGACTTCGCGCGCGAAATCCGCAGCGCGCGCGCCCGCGACGAGCTGCGCCAGCTGTACGGTCACCCGGACAACGTGGACCTCTGGATCGGCGGCATGCTGGAGGAGCACGCGCCCGGCGCCAAGATGGGGCCGACGTTCGTCTGCCTGCTGGCCGACCAGTTTCGCCGGCTCCGCGACGGCGACCGGTTCTGGTACGAGGCGGCCGGCGTGTTCACGCCCGGCCAGCTGGCGCAGCTGAAGCAGACAAACCTGGCGCGCATTCTCTGCGACAACGGCGACGCGCTGCACCAGGTGGCGCGTGATGTGTTCCGCGTGCCCGAGCGACAGTCGCCGCGCATCATCGACTGCGAAAGCACGCCGCAGGTCGACCTGCGCATGTGGGTCGACTGCAAGAGTTGCCGAGGCGAGGGTAGGTAGCGAGGGACCAAATGTTGGGAGGTAGAGCGGTCGGCAGCCGGGCTTGTGCTCGTGCTTGCTCGCCTGTGGTTCTCGGCCACCTCAACGGTGACAGGCCTGTCAGACGACCTTTTTTTTAAAAATCGTTCAAGGGCCTCTTATTTCTTGACGTAAGACCATTAAGCTTGATGTGATTAAGCGATTCCTTTGTTTAGTACCTACCTCTGATCGCTAAGTTTTACTGGTCTATAGTTGGACAGTTATTTAACAATTAACTGCGCTGTTTTGAATGACTGCCAGGGCAGGCTGGCTCGTAACGCATCAGCCGTGTCCTGCACTGGAGTTTCTCTGAGAGGTTACCGCGGTCCCGAGCACAGATCGCTCTCTCCCCGCTGCAGATTGTTCAGCGGAGGGAGCGCGGCCGGGCCGAGCACGCCGCTCCGTGCTGCTCTCCACCCACAACCACCTGACGGACCCGGCTCCGGCTCCGGCTCCGGCTCCGGCTCCGTCTCCGGCCCCGGCCGCGGCTCCGACTTCGGTTCCGGCTCCGGCGGTGGCCGATATTTACCACATGGAGGACGTGACTGAGGAGCGCATCCAGGGCCTGGAGGAGGTGATGGCGCGCATGCACCGCTCGCTGGTGCGCATGAGAAAGCAGCTGCGCCGGCTGCAGCAGAGTGAGCTGGGGCGCCGCCAGCAGAGACGGAGGCACCGGCGGCTGACGGCGCCCGGCCGGTCCAGGCCCGGGTTAGTAGGGAGGAAGGGAGGGAGCGGGGAGGGAGGGAGGGGAGAGAGGGGTGGAGGGAGAGGGGAGAAGGATGGAGGGAGGGATGGGGGGAGAAGGGGAATGAGAGGGAGAGAGGGTGAGAGGGAGGGGGATGGAGGGAGGGATGGGAAGGGGAGTGAGAGGGAGAGGGAGAGAGGGAGAAGAAGAGGGAGAGGGGTAAGAAAGAAGAAAGGGGAAGATAGGGAGGGACGAAGGACAGGGAAAGAGGACAGAGCTAGACTGTGAATAGAATGAACAGAGAGATTCAGCCATGCCAAGGGTGAGGAATGACAAATAGACAGGAGTGTAGACGGACAAGCGCCCGGACTGATTATGTTGTACGCCGATGTTGATATCCATGTTATCTGCTTTGTCCTCTGATGCGCCGTGGTTATGGCGGTCGCCTGCGACGTCACTGTGTGCCTGTGCCGCAGCCGGGACTCTCGGTCGTAGCCGGCGCGCTGCCAGACCGGACGGGCAGTCCGACCCTGTGATACTCTCCCGGAGCGGTCCGAGCTGGCGCCCCGGCTCGAGACGAACCCCTCACTGCCAGCTGCCGGCCGCGCCGCGCTGCCTGAACCGCGCGGCCGCCGCCAGCCGCGACTCCGCTCCCTGCCGCCAGGGGCGCTGCTTACAGTGCCGGCTCGTGCCGGTGTCAGCTGATGCGAGCTTTCTCGCCTCACAACGCGCACGTCCGATGGTGCACTCAGCAAGATATAAATGCTTACGATACTAATGTAGGATTAATATACTGATTTTTTCAACGTTCGTGTTTGCCTTCCCGGTAAACTCACGAGCTGTGCAGCAGCAGGCAGTCACCGACCGTATTCAAGGGTGGAGGCCTTAAAGCGAGGACAGGCAGTCACCGGATAATGCAGGCATTATCACCGCCACTCGTCAGCCACCGGCCGTGTTCCAGAGTGGAGGCTGTAGAGCGAGGACGGCAGAGTCCATCTTAACGTTGGTCGACATTTGACACAAGCAGATGAGACGTGTGTTCTGTTCAATCTCACAAGGCCTAGGCGGATCCTGGGGGGGGGGGGGGGGCACGGGGCCATGGCTCCCCAAAAACCTCTGGGAGTATGTTCGCCCCCCCCCCCCAAATAAAACCCATAACTTCATAAAAGTTTAGTCTACTTACCGTCTGTTTTAACTTTAACTGTTTTACCGGTTTTGTTTTAACTTCAGTTCAAGATTCAAAAGCATTTCGGTATTTTTTCGGTTTTGAATGGTGCCCCTACTAGATACTCGCGAGAGGCACCATGCACTGGACCTCGGATCCCACACCAGCCAGCTGGCGACGAACGGTTTGCCCCCCCCCCCAAAAAAAAAACTCGGGCTAGATCCGCCACCGTCACAAGGTCCGGCGGGTTTCCGTGTAGTTTCGTTGCTCGTAGCACGCATTTGGAAAGAGTTGTATCACGCAACCCGCTGCAAAGACAGAGTGGATTTCAAACGTCGTTTAATGTGCCTATAAAGTGCTTCCTGTCCACACCTTTTGCTGCGTTTAGCCGGTGATACTTCCTTCCCTAAAGTGCAGCACTGGAAACGGTCACCGAGTAGACAATAGCGACAGCTCATGGGAGGCACCACCAGCAGCCGACGGAGGGAGGCTAGCACCAGCCGGTGGCGTACACGTGGCCGAAGTTGTCGGGGCTGCCGAGCGGGTCGTTGGGGGGACAATCGGCCGGCACGAGTTGGCTGCGGTGGCGCAGCAGCCGGTGCTTCAGCTCGGCGACCGTGGCCGGCCGCTCGGCCGACAGGTCCATGTGCTCGGTGGGGTCGGCCGCTAGGTCGAACAGCCAGGTGGTGTTGTCGCCCGTCCAGCGGTGGTCCGCCAGCTGGTAGCGCGTCGGCGCCAGCTCGGTCGGCACCAGCGGCCACAACTCGATCACGCCCGGTTCCGGGTACCAGCCGTTCTTGCTGCCCGGGTGGCCCCAGATGAGCTTCATGTTCCCGACGCGGATGGCGGAACTCAGCCGCTTCTCCACGTCGATGTTGTAGACGAGCTCGTCGCGCGGGCTTGGCCGGTCGCGGGAGATCGTGTCCCACTGGTCGAAGCCGTCCAGGTCGTCGGCGGGCACGGTCGGCCGGCCGGCCAACCTCAGGAGCGTCGGGAACCAGTCGGTGACGTGGATCAGGCCGCGGTTCACGTAGCCCCGCTTCTTCAGCAGTGGCGAGTGGACGAAGGAGGCGGCGCGCGTGCCGCCCTCCCACAGCGTCACCTTATTGCCCCGCAGCGGGTAGTTGTTGCCGCCGGCCAGCACCTGGCCGCCGTTGTCAGTCGTGAATACAATGACAGTGTTGTTGTAGAGGCCGCTGTGCCGGAGCGCCTTCTCCACGCGCGCCACGGCATCGTCCAGCGCCGACACCATGCCGCAGAACGTGCGCCGGTCGCGGTCGTGCACACCCGGGTACAGGTCTCGGTATCGCTTGGGTACTTGCAGCGGCGCGTGCACGCTCTGGAAGGCCAGGTACAGGAAGAGCGGCTTCTCGGACTGGTGAGCGAGGATGATACGCTCCGCCTCTTCGGCGAACACCTCGGCCGAGTAGCGCCCGCGGTACTGGCGCGCCACGCTCAGGTTCTGTCGGAAATCGAGCCCGAACGAGCCGTCCTCGAGCCTGCGCGTGTGCGCGTAGTAGTCTTGGGAGCCGGTCCAGAAGCCGAGGAACGACTGGAAGCCGCGCGCGGTGGGCGTGAACTCGCGCCGGCAGAAGCCCAAGTGCCACTTACCGATGGCGTGCGTGCGGTAGCCGGCGGCGCGTAGCCGGCGCGGTAGCAGCTCGGCCTGCAGCGTCAGCCCGGTCGGCTCCTCCGGCCACAGCACGTCGTGCTGCCGTCCCAGCCGGAACGGATAGCGCCCGGTGAGGAGGGCGGAGCGGCTCGGCGTGCAGATGGGCTGCACGTACGCCTGCTCCAGCACGGCGCCTCCGGCCGCCAGCCGCGCCAGCGCCGGCGCGCGCAGCAGCGTGTTGTGCCACGGCACGTCGTTGTAGCCCAGATCGTCGGCCACGATAAGGACGAGATGGGGCGGCGGCGGCGCGGCCTGGGCGGCGGAGAGGGAGCGCCATCAGCAGCGGCGCCAGCCACGCCCGGCTGCGGCCCCGGCCCGGTGCGCGCATCTTCTCACGCTACGCCGAGTGCTGCGTCACGTACCGCCGGCGGCCGACTGCGTCGCTGTGACAGGCGCCGGGGCAGCGCGGCGCCGGCGGCGGCCGCAAGTGTGGTTGTCCGGATTATTCCGGTATCACTGCCGGCTTTTGCGGCGTGTGACGCCCGTCCGGCCGCCGTCAAAGCACACCACGGTGCTGATAAGGCGCAGGCCCCGCTGGTTAAAACCGGCCGTCTGAGATGACTGCCGGTCGCATAAAAACTGTGCGGCGCTTCTAACCAATCGCAACAGGCCCCGCCTTCGCACAGGTCAGAGAACCTGGCGGCCAGGCATCTTCGCTGTCTGGGAACTCGACGGTCTCAGCACACCGCTTTGTTTGTCGGCGGCTGGCCGCGATAACACGCAAACCCCGGTCAATATTGAGCTTCGCGTGCACGCCCGGAAAGTCAACATCGAGGGATCGATAACTTGAAGCGCCTTTCGCAGTGATAGCAAATAGCCGAGTCACCTCTGAGTCTGTGGATTGAGTACCACCGGCAGGAGGGATGCTTCCTACAGGGTCGGAGGCTAGGTTCCGGAGTTCTGAAAGTCCCGGAGTCACGGTTCCGGAGTCACGGAGGTCCCAGAGTCCCGGTCCCGGAGTCCCGGAGGTCAAGGAGTCCCGGTCCCGGAGTCACGGTCCCGAAGTCCCGGAGATCCCAGAGCCACGATCTCGCAGTCATGGTCCCGGAGTCCCGAAGGTACCCGGCGCTGCAGCGGTAGAGATTCTCGAGACTTGAGACAGTTGGTGTTTTCAAGGCAGTGCCCAGGGTAGTCGGGCCGGACCCTGAGTAAGTCCACAGACCGCTGGGTGATGGGACTGAAGCGACCTGAACAACGAGCGATCAGTGGGCCAAAGAGCGGGGTCCTAATGGCAAAGCCAAAATAATATTTCCAAAATGTCTTGAGAGCTGATTGAAGCGCTTTGGGCGAGGTATAGAGACCAATTCAAAGGCATGGGATACGGAAGTGGGGTAATGTCCGAGCTCTACCTCAGACGCAGACCCTGCCACGTAGCAAACATCGCAGCAGTGCGGGCGTGTTACTGCTGTCGCCCGGAAGGGGCTGAACGCGGCGGCCCACTATGCTCGGTACAGGGGCGTATTTAGGAGGTGGACAGGGGGGGACATGAACCTTCCGCTTAGCAGAGAGGTTTTCGCCGTATGTTGGAAGATTTAACAAAATTTTGGTACAAACTCGCAGGAAAGTCCAGAAAGTTTGACATCTCTCCTTACTCACCGAAGAAAAAGAATCCCGGCGGCGTGTTTATCTGGCAGGCACTGTTTAAGCCTAGGAAAAGCGCAATCTTGAATTGCTGAGGACAGTTGTGAAGTTTACAACAATTTGTTATTCATAACAGAAATGAACTCAGAACTGTGCCCGTCAGAAACTGGAAGGAGTGCCCTGAAGGCAAAAGCCTGCATTATGTATTATTACATCCTTCCCTTTTATCCTCTATCTTGCTTCATCCTGCATTCTCGCGGCACTCAGCTTGTCCGGGGCAGGCCGCATGCGTCAGCCACGAGTGGGCCGGGAGCCCCGTGGGAAGGGGGACCCCGACCGGGTACCCAGGGCGTACGCGCGAGTTAAAGCTCGGCTGTTGGCCCCCAGAAGCATGCAAGTCTGCCACACCGTTAACCATTTCCCTTCATCCCATAGCCCTGAAATGATCATTTCTGGTTCAAAGGGCTTTAATAAAAGCAAACGACAAAAACATGATGCATTATAAGCGCGGTTAGTGATCGAGGCGTCCAAAAAACGCGAGAAACTAGTCGAAATTCAGCTGCTGTCCGTTGATACGGCCATTGTGCTGATGTACAATTCTAGAGATGCACGGGCAGCAACGGTAAGTAGTGTGTTTCATTAAAGCAGCGAAGATGTTGCTTGGCAGGTCACACAGCGAGGCCAGGCCGGGTCCATGATGACCTTACACGAGAAACTATAGGGATCTTTCCTAGACCGTGCATTGTATGGAAGTCGAGTGGTTTATTAGTATTAACGAACGGCGCATAGTTCTGAGGCAACTCGTTGGCGCGTGACCTCAATGACTGGCACATCCTTTCAACTTCCTTACCTTCAAGACCCTTCAACTGGCTTATAATAATTACGGATGATAAACTACGTGATTACGTCGACTTTTTTACGTTGCGCATAAAGCTATCGCCTAAGGAGTTCACCGAAAGTAAGGGTAATTTAGACAATACCCATTGTGCCTAACTTGTCATGCCTGATCAGCAAAGTGAAATGGGTGTAAGGCGGAGTTCACGTTTGACCAATACCGCGTGTACATGTAGTTTGGTATTGTTAGTATGGTTCCTATCGCATCCCCCTCTGCCCCTTTTTCAATGCCTTCCCACTTTGCATAGCAGCCATCTGGTCGTGATATGTGAGGCAGGAAGCCAGCGACCTATCAGCCGCCCAAGCGAGGCGTCTGAGCGCACAGGCCATACCAGAAGGGTAGATGCGCGCCCAGATCATCGATCATCGATCATCGACCAGGGTCGAAAACAAGATCACCAGGGCGAGACCCGCTGGCGGAAACGCAGCATGTAGCTCGGGATGTAGGAAACGCAGCATGTAGCCGGGGATGACCGCATTTCACACTTCAAGTG